TCCAGAGAAAAAAAAAAATGCGTCGTCAACGGGAGGAGAAGCACTGAGTTAAATACAAATGTGAAGTTAATAAAGGTAAATAGACTGCTCTGGCGACACTGGAAAGTTGGAATTTCGAGAGTTAACTCTTCCTTTATGGTCGAGGGAGCAATTTTCCTCCTACATAAGGCTATCGCTTCCAAATTCGCTAGGGCGGCTCATTTACATTCTTACAAATTTAAGTTTATGTAATAAGCTGAGCCTACGTGCCCGCGATTATACGCATGGAGCAGTTTTCCACTTAGGATTTTTTTCGGTTTAGTAACATGTTTCGAGTTTTTATTTGACTAAGACTGGGAGGGAGGACTGCAGACTGGTTTTCACTGGCGCGCAAGCATAAGCATAAATAACATACGCTGCAGGCGCTGGTAATGAAACTGTCCTCACAAAAGGCACTAGTTATCAACATTTTACTGCGTCTGCGCATGTGGGCTTCTGCTCATGCGTTAACGACCTTAGTAACGGCTGCGAAGGAGACAATTGAGAACCAGTCTTAGTTGGATGCGGTCAAGAAATGCTGTCAATCAATCTGTTACTAAAAATTCCATCACTGCTATTTAATTTCTTGCGCTTGCGTTGAAATGCGTAAACGCCGAGAACCATGCCTTAAAATTTTCCCACTAAAACAAAACGAGGAAAATGGTGTTTTTAATGCTCCGTCAGGAAGACTGGATATTGGGCCCGATAATCTTTTGCATCTTTATGGACCTCGACTGCGTTTCCGTTCATAAACTTGCAACAGATAAACTTGGCTTATTATCCTGAAAATGGCAAAACGGTATGCACATTTTCAATGCTAATTCTAAATTCACGGCTGGCGGGAAAACACATTTCGGGTCTTTTGTTCTATTGGCCCATGCTTCGCGAGTTATCCATATTAAGTTGAGTATTTCAAACGAGCAAATGCTCTTCAAGTGGCCCAAAATTCGAGAAAATTTTGCTTTTTTGCTCTAATCCATCTTAAAATAATTTGATCGTTTATAATAACGCAGGTGTTCGGCGCAAATTTTAACGGCGAATTAGGCTTCAAGCCTCAGACTCCAGCAGATCGTTAGTTCTCGGGGTGACGGAATGGAGTTTACATGTAAATGATAGCTGAGAATTGATCAAAATTTGAACTGTCAGCTGACAAATAATGGGGTTTTTAACTTATGGCTGAGATCTAAAATGCGCAAAGTTTACTGACAACTGAGAAATGCGCTGAAATTTTACCTGGTAGCTGAGAAATCACCGAAACTTTAACAGAGAAACGAGATTCCAGCACCGCTTTCCAAACCCCTCGCATTGTAATCAGCAAAACGGAACTCAGCTCGTCAGATGTAGCAAAGTCATACGAATAGGTGATGACGTAAGTTAATTCGGGGGAATCCCTCCGATCCAGTTTATTATGTTACCACCAAAAACGAAACGTACCTTGCTCATTAACTTAATACGAGGGATTCCCCTCTGTAGATGGTATTTATAACCTTTATTATGTGGCTTGTTTCTGTAGCCGATACAACGCGCGCTCTAATTGGCTAATTGTAGGGCATTATTCTCCCGTAATGCCCACGGGCCGATTACGGGCTTGCAAAAACAAGGCAAACAGCCATATAATAAACAACTTATTAATCTCGAATGTTCGGTCTCTATGGGAATATCTCAAATCTCAAGGCCTCGGTCTGAGATTTTACCGTAAAGACAATCACTCTCGGTTAATAAGTAGTAAGTATCACATGGCCACTCACAAGATTAATTCTCACTCCATTTAAACCTGCGACCGGTGCTTCCGGTGAAAAGAAGAAAACTGTGAAACCGTGTCACTCATTTGAAGGCCGTGATGGTAGACCAGCTCTTGTGGCACTTCAAACAACTTCTGAGAACAACGTGACACATCTGAGTTCACTTTCTGAATCAGTTTCACTTTTTAGAGGAAGAGGGAATCGGATTATTACTAAGGAGCTTCAGCAAACACATACGGCAATGCGGTAATGAGAAAACTTTGCACATAATGATAATATAAACCTTGGCACAAGCCGTAATCTGCACAACAGCAACGTCAAATAAGCCACGTTCGATATAACAATATTCTAACATGGCTCCGAGGCTTTCGTGTCAAAATTGTAAATTTTTTAAGTTTCTTGTCTCTCAATTTCCAAAACAGACTTGGATACAATGAAAACAACACCAAATAGAGAAGTTTGTCCTGAAAGCCTCGGAGCCATGTTAGAATATTGATATATCGAACGTGGCCTATTACCAAAATATTTTATTTTGAAAGAAGTCAACCACGAGGACTAATTTTTTTCCGTTTCCTTTTGGAGTTAAACGCTTTCTTTGCGTATTCAGCAGGAGCTAGTTCTTTAAAAGCCCGTGACACTGAATACATCAGGGTAATTCTTAATAATCAAGTAAAACGTAAATTCACTTTATATTACGCGTTGTTCTTGGCATCGCCGTCGTCAATGCATGAGATTCCAGCTCCGTATTGCGTGTAATGTATCAAACACGAAAAACCGTGTTTGACCACATTCTCAAACCCCAAGAAGAGAGTTGAAAATACGACGCGTAGCGAATTTTATAATATAAACACCAATGAAATGTCAGGTGAGCTTTCGCGCGAAAACATATCTTCACACGTGAAAATAACGTTATCTTCACAAGTGAAAAGATCAACGTTGCTATGGTTACATGATGAATCGCGCCTTTCGCATCTCTAAAGTGAAATGGTTTAGTATTTCATTCGTGTTAAACTAATAAATAGAACATTACATGACCGCTTGGAGAAACGAAATTTATCTTCCAGTGTTTTACGAGTGAACGTAGCGAACGAGTGAAAATTTTTTTCAAAAACGCGTATCTCCGCGCGGCCATGTAATACCTCTATATATTGGAAGAATTTCGAGGTGTAAGAAATGTGGTCAAACACGGTTTTTCGCGTTTGGTGTATCTTCTCAGGTCGAAACTAAAATAGTGCCAAGCATTTATGTCGGATATACGATGCAACATTTACAGTAACACATCAGTCAACACAAACGTTCAGCAACTGACCAGCATCTAAACGTGGACTATCAAAGTCTGCTTTAATTTAGAGGTCAAATTATTTTACGTATTAAACAAATGTAGATTAGAGTTTGTTGTTTGGTTTATGAAAAGCTTGTTACAAAGGAATTGTATTCTGAGTTAAACGCTCATCTCGCACCAATCTTTTTACCTGACTCTGTTACAAAGAGATATTCTATTTTTTATTTTGCTCATCTTTGCTCCATTGCGTTGATCTCCTTAGCAATTTTCATTTCATTTCATATTTATCTTCGCGCATTTTTTCGTTTTGACTTGGTAGTGACGTTATGGAACCGCCAGAACGTCGTGGCATATATTTTAACAAAAATGTTTTTAAATGATTTAATTTAAACTAGTAATTTCATTGTGACCAATTTGTTAACATAAGTTGATTTTATTTTACCGAGGATCTTCTCAACGGTATGTATATTAATTAATAACCCGCAGATTTTTACAAAAGTGGGGGCACAAAGGAAATCTGGGAATGACCGGAAGAATAGCTTGGCTTGGACCCAAGACCGCGCGTTCGTCCACTCTTTCAATCAAAACAAGATGGCGTCCAGGAAGCAAGCAAAGCTCTGCAGACTACGGTACAACAAGCATAGAGGATGAAAACCTCGCACGTAAACCACAGGCTCATTTAACTACCGAAAATCTTGCATCTTCCATAATCCATATAATCTTCCATAATCCATGCCAGCGGTTGTTTGCAGACATTGCTAAGGAACATCAGCGATTCTCATGCAACATGCTGTGAGACTTGCCAACTTGTGATTTCCTAATTGGACAACACGAGTATGAAATTGAACAAGTGATCTCCTTGATATTCGTTTTACGGCAATCTGGTATTCTGACATCAGTCTGGTCCCAGATGGCAAGCCTCTTTCGCTCTCTTCAGGCCCTCGCGCATTTTACTCTGAAAGCTTTCGCTATCAATCCATACTAGACACCAGTTCAAACCACTGCCTTAGTGCGTCACTCAGGGTCAGCGGCAATGCGTTGATGTCTCTGAGAATGATGTAAAATGGAAAAGGGAACTGTTCCATGTAGGATTTGATTTCTGGCAGTTTTCCCGGACGAAATATCGGCACTCTGATGTCAAGTACGGAGTCCTTGTTGGCCGGGTTGTCAAGAATCACAAAGACCATAAATATTGTGGCCTCTCTTGCAATTCGAACGGCCTTCTGTACAGTCTACAGGGAGAAACACAGTCGAGAGTAAATTATTTTGATTTTGATTTTTCTTTCCTTCATGTTCATCATCATCATCATAGCAATCAAATCAGAGTACTTTGAAAAATTTCAAACCAAATATAAAATAAACCACGTGCCATTTCGAATTTTTGAAGGCTTTCGGATATGTTTCTATTCAGTGAAATATTTTCAAACTTAATAAACTTGTTAATTTTAAAAGATATTTTATCGGCTAATAGGTTTCATTCGACACTGTAAATAAGCAATGTAATATATCGTAAGCAATAACTATATTAGTAGCGGAGTGCTCTTAAAAAAAGAGGGTTTATTTCTTAATTGATTCAATTTTATATGCAGTTGAGCCTCTATTAAGCAGCCACCTGTTGAGTGGCCTCTTCCCATTTCCCTGAGCAATGTTATCTATCGAAAGCAATGACTATAACAGAAGCGGAGTGACCTTTAAAAAAAATGAAAATGAAAAAGAGAGTTCATTTCTTAATTCATTAAATTTTATATACAGTTGAAGCTTTATTAACCAGCCACCTGTTAAGTAGGCACAACCCCCTATTAAGCGGCCACTTCCCATTTCCTCGAGGGAGGACGCTTAATAGAGGTTCAACCGTAAGCGGGACTTCTCCAATTTAAACCTTCAAGAGGCTAGCCACGATCAGTTTAAGGCAGCATGTATGACGCCAATGCTCTTTGAAAACCTTTAACTTTGAAAATATTTTAAGTTATTCTGAGTTTCAAGGCTGTTTTACCAACCTCCATGCCCTCCAGGAATATGCCCCTGCCATCAGACACAATGAGCAACAGTTGAGAGGTGTCACGTCTCATCCGGGGGGACAAAGGAAGCCGTGAATGCGCTGAGAGCATCAGACTTGTGCACGTGTCTAGGAGCTAAAAACGTTCAAAGTTCATCACAAGGAAAATTTGTCATCCATCACAATACTTAAATTTACAGCTTTCTTGAATCTGTTCGGAGTGTCCTATTTTCACTTTTTTCATTTATTTCCGTTTGAGAAGTTTTATACACCTTATTCCAAAATGGCCTCCATTTTAGTGTTGTTTTGTTTGCTTGAAAATTAGCCCTTGTTGCCTCGTTCAAGGCAAAACTTTCTTTTGAATTTCGAGTTTAAGAACGAGGCAACAAGGGGTAATTTGAAGGCAAACAAAAGAACACTAAAATGCCGGCCATTTTGGAATAGGGTATATGGTATTTCAAAATGAACGTTAGATAATCGATTATGAATATTTCTTACAAAATGGCAAGATACCTAAGGTTCTTGTATCATGCCCTCTGCCTTAGCAAAAACAAAAATTCACAAAATCAAAATAGGTAGGAAGTCAAACTCGTTACTTACTTGCGCTATTTTGGTTTTCTTTTGATCGAAGGTAAATTGCTGTAAGATTCTTGCTCCAGAGTGGTCTGTGAACGGTTCGTGAAATGGATGCAACAGGCGGACAGTCTCTCCAAAGCTACAACAAAACAGTCCAAATGGTAGTAAAACGCCCGAGAATTCACTGAGCGTCGGACACAAGTTAACATTTAAATATTCTGAAAACCGTCTGTTACGCTAGCCAGCTAAACCATATACAAAACAAACTTCACTGTTCCCCAAGGGACCGGTCATTGAGTAAGTTGTTATACAGCAAAACAAATGGGTCAAACCGGTGGAAAACAAATAATCACTTTATTGACAAATGACGTGCAACAGCGGTCAACATTTCGCGGGTAACAGTGAACTGTTTCTTGTTTGACGTCATCGCCGTTTTCGAAATGATCCCCGCTCATGGCATTTGGCGGGAAACAGTTTCATTGTTAGATGTCATGTGACCACGAACTAGCCAATGAATGGGCGCGCTGTAGCGGAAAAAACGCCAGCTATATAACAATATTCACTAACAAAGGCAGATGCGCCACTGAAGGACCAACGTGCGACAAGAAACACCTGCACGGGCGAAATATCCATTCCGCCGAAATTTATTCCGTTTCCGGTAGCACTAAGCGACTAGAAGTATCTCCATTCCCCCTCGAATTTGATGCTAGTCCATCACAGGGTTATCCCAAGCATTAGAATGAGGCACTGTTAGAACAAAGTGATTTGCCCAAGAACACAACGCAATGATCCCGGCCAGCAGTCGGACCGCTCGCTGAGATGTCCAGAGCACTAACCGCTAACGCCTCCCTCCCCCCAGCGTGCCAAAAATGAGCATGAAAACGAAGACAAAAGTGAACGACAACAGGCCGTTTATTAGTTACCTTGTGCCTCTGTTTCAATGAAAATGAGTTAAAGCTTCTGCCGGTTTACATGAAAAATGAACCTTTAGGTGGAAAACGTTTTCATATCAATGGTATTCGCACAAGACTCGTTTTGACACAGAGGCAAAGGGCAACTCAGAAATAGCGGATTGCACGCCAAAAGCTACGCACTGTGAGGAATAAACAACATACCTTAGATAAAGACAAACAAATGAACTGCACTGACCTACACACACCCAAGTCACCAGCCTCCAGTCTGGTTAATGCATTGCTGATCACTGCTAAGGACTCAAACGCCAGCTAAAATAATGCAATAAATAATGGAGAAAAAACACTGGTCGAGCTGCTTAGCAAGAGTTTTATTGGTTACTGCAAATACCGTGTTAATATAAACACTAAAAAACAAACACTCCACACTGTTTTCGAAGAGTATTCGAAGCGATGGCCCTCCCTTAGGGAGACGCAAGAATCGTTGAATGTGAATAAGAGATTTTTCAAAAATATTCGTTGTTATAGCCCTGGACCGGGTTGTTCGAAAGGTGGACAATGCTATTCATCGGATAAATCACTAGCCAGCGGATAGCGTGGTTTGTTTTGTTAACAATTATCCACTGTACGTACGGGTTATCGACCAAGTGTGAGGTCAAGATGGCTGGATATTGGCCGAGTTCTTTTAATGGACCGAGACGGAGTCGAGGTCCATAAACTCACGGATTTGATTCATCTCGACCGCTCACGGAGCTAGCCATATAATAAAGCGATATACCCGATATATCCAGACTTCGAACAACCGAGGCCTGAAGGGTGGTTAACTTTCCCTCACAGACTCCGAGTAGACACTAAACAAATGTTCAGCCTGTTCATTGTTTGTCACCTGTTTCCAGTAGTTGTTGGTTTCTTCCTCTTACCTGTTTAGAGTGGTTATCATTCATACTGGAAGAATCGTCCACAGCCAACATGATCTGGTACTGCCTCTTACTAGGCTTAGTTCTCCTCAGCCAGATCTTGTCCTTGCGGAACTGACTGGCGATGTAAGAGATCACCTTCCTCATGTTTAACCTTTTCCCCGACCGGTAATCTCCCCTACAAGAATCAACATGTGTAAGAAACCTGACCCTAAATAACTCGGTTATACCCCCGCCGGAAGCCCCACAGTTAGAACACCCTAAGCCCTTCCATAAGATAAATTCACAACACTCGTCAAGTAGTTGGCAACACCTTTCTCCAATGTGAGCTCAGCTCACGTTAATGTTTGTTTTCTCCAGCGTTAAACGTTCCCGTCACAAGTTCAAAATACTGATTCTCCTTTACAATTCTTACACATTTCATTCAATGAGAGTTATGAGAATTCGGAGTTTTCTTCTCTTTTCTGTTGAACAAGGTACTCATATTGTGGTGAATAGTTAGATTGGAGAAAATGAACCCTCACCTAATCCTATAAATGTCTCGACCAAAGAAAGTATCAATGATTTCTCGGACCAAGAATGGAAGATTTTTCTGAATTCGAAACAAAAGACAACCTCACAAGGTAGACCCAAATTTCACCGTTCCTCTCTGATCCCGAAATTTATGTAAATCTCAGTTCAATGGTTCTTTGCATTGCTTGGAGGCTTTTTCAGAAAATTTTGGGACCCACTAACTTCTGGTCCAAAATAAGCAGAATTGCTACCAGTTTTTATTTTATTTTAAATTTATTTTTGTACACTTCAAGTTTTGGTATGAGTACACATAAAGTTATGGTTGTTGTTGTTTTTGTTGTTGTTGTTGTTGTTGTTGAATAGGAAGCGTCCTTTGCAAATAACGTACTTGAGTTTGGTAGCTAATGAAGGTTCTAGCACCAGTCGCAACTGTTCACACAACTCCTGAGAGAGACTGGAGGTGAGAAGCTCGTACTTGCGCCAGGCCTCTTGTGCGACTCGCTGTTCGTCGGCCGTACCTCGGTCCATGTTGCTCCATTCTGCCAACTGATGTTCGAGATCTGACCTTAACTTCTCAGGATCCAGCGATGATATGTCCTTCAAGAAGGAAGAAAGTTGCTTAAATATTTGCAAGGACTGTTACACGTTTAATAGTTAAGGTTTCAATGGAAAAACATTTTGATAAAGGTGACACGTTCATCGTGTTGCGAGCGTTACACAAAAATCTGAACCCTGACAGGATTCAAACCCAGGACCTTCCAGATA